AAAGACGATTTGACGAAGTTGTCATTCACCTCAGAGCTAGTGGTCAAACTGTGAAGTACAAGGTTAATATTCTCTACAAGATGATCATGAACCACACCTTTCTTTTTACCCAAAAACCTTTATAGCTTTTGCACACTTTGCCGTTTGATTCCGATCGGAAGAGGATGTCAGTTGTTGTGCAAGAATGTTCTGGAAAGAAAAGAGTCATGCTGTTGACAAAAGGCGCCGATGCTACTGTTTTGCCGATTTTGTCTAACGAGTATACTACTTCTCTGAAAGGAGAAGAGGAAGTGTTCAAGGTAGGCGCTTATTTTTGTTTTTTTAAAAAGTTTAATTCCATCGCTACCAATTATCAATCTCTTAGGTGCAGATTATATTGAAAACAATTATCTGACAAAACTAAAAATCTTTTTTGATTCGTTTTTGATACGAAAAGCTTACGTAAAGTGAGCTTCTTATTCCACATAGGTGATTTTCAACAAAAGTTTAGGCTCAGGAGCACTTGTCTGACTATGCGAGGGAAGGCCTAAGAACACTTTGTCTGGGGATCAAGTACTGGAACGATGAAGACTATCAGGTGAATTTTTTTGAGAACCCCAACTACAGGCCTAAAAGTCTTAAAGATGCGATCGTATTAAATGGATTAACTTTTTTTATAGAAGTGGAGAGCTATTCACGAAGAAGCTGAACTCGATCCACACCATCGAGAGAATTTGCTCAGAGATAGTACGCTAAAAGCTGAACAGGATGTTGATTTATTAGGTTAGCAGCACCTTACTTTTCTATTTCACGGAAACTGATCAGCAAAACATCTTCCAATGGTTATAAATCCTTTTAAGCCTACATGACACTTTAAGGCGTGACAGCAATTGAGGACCGCCTTCAGGAAGGAGTTCCCGAGTGCATCCATCTGTTGCGAGAGGCAGGAATCCGTGTTTGGGTTCTGACAGGTGATAAGGTGGAAACGGCTGTGAATATTGCATTCTCCTCTAGGTAATAGCTCTTTTTACCTTATTTTCAAAAACCACTGTATGTGTTTTTATTTGACAATTTAGATTAGATCATTGGTAAGGCGCTATCTTCCACTTGCAAATCACTTCACTTTGAAATTTGCATTTTTTCGAAGTTGATTTGCTGCTCGCTTAGTAAAGACACTTGGAATTTGGATGTTGTTTTTATTCCTACCTGAAAAGCAGTGGAAGAGAGTTGGAACAGTGACATGCCATTGTGAGAGACCATGCTAAGCTCAATCTATTCAGAAACACTTACAGTAAAGCCCTATAAATGAAAGCAAAACAGTCAAGAAATTCATTGAAAGTACTAAAGGCTGTGACAAAATCATAAAGTTAGAAAAGTTTGCTCTCCGAATAGTTATGTAGCTGCAAAATTCTACATGCTAATATCTCGGACCAACCTATACCCACTGTCACATTTTTGCCTTTTGAACTGTCAAATGTTGATCCCTTCGCATTCTTCTTTTTCTATCAAGTAAAAAGTTGTAGAGGTAGTTTTGTAGGCTCATTTAGCATAGCTTGCAACCTGCAATAGTCAAGGTGAATGGCTGTCAATCGTTCGATTAGGAGTTTTTTGGTCTTTCCTAGAGGAATGCACACGTTCTTAACGAATATACATTTAAACGCAAAAGGTGATGTTTATTTTATCAGTACATTTTCTAGGCTCTTTTCTTCCGCCATGGATCTTCTAAACATTGGTGCAAACGGTGTACGTTCGGTTTCCGACCTGCTTGACGAGCACCTCATACGGTATGGTGATTTATCACAATGGTATCGCCAAGAAACTATCGTGCCCTAAGAATTTTGTTACAGTGTAAATCGCGCTGGAGAAATTACTGAAGATGCGGCATTTGGTTTAGTACTGAACGCATCCTGTCTTGATTACTGCTTGGATCCTCATAATGAGGAGCGTTTCGTTCGATTGCTCAAGAGGTTGCTGTTATCAATCATTCACTTACCGTATGTACATATTTTTTCTTCCAGCTGTCGCAGCGTTTTATGTTGTCGAGCAACTCCGATCCAGAAGGCATCTTTAGTAAAATTGGCAAAAAATCGTCTTAAGGGCAAGGTCCTTGCCATAGGAGATGGAGCTAATGACGTGTCTATGATCCAAGTACAACTTCTGAATTTATCCTCTAATAATTCTTGGAAACCTCCCAGCTAAATTTATTTTTAGTCTTCTGACGTCGGTGTGGGCCTCTCAGGCCAGGAGGGCATGCAAGCAGTTATGGCTAGCGATTTTGCCATGGCTCGTTTTCGTTTCCTCGCAAATCTTCTTCTGGTACATGGGCACTGGTGCTATCAGCGATTAGCTCAAACAATCCTTTATTTCTTTTACAAGAATGCGGTGCGCTTCTTTCACTTGGCTTCTTTGTTGTAATTTATTTTACTATTGACGTTTAGATGTTTGTTTTCACCATCTTCTGGTACCAATTATTCAGTGGCTTCAGCTCACAAGTCCCGATCGACCCTATATATCTTATGGTTTATAACCTGATTTTTACTTCAGGTATATATTTTCACAATTCTAAGACATTTCACAGATTTTTATATAGGGCGAATGCATTGCTTCCTTTTGTATTCATGTGGACAAATTATAAGCCCTGATCAACTTCAACTTTTGACACGCTAATGTATTTTGTCAGTATTACCACACATCTAAACCATACCTGGGGATACTTCAATAAGAGCCATAATAAAATGGTACTATGGCCCCAGGCCACAACATTG